ATTACAAACACCACCAGATGAATAAGGCAAAAGAGAGTAAGAGACTTTTTAATGCTATTTCTACAGTAATGTCAGTGAAATGAAAAGCTTGTGGAGACTCAGCTCCAACTCTAACCTCACAAACAGTGGCAAAGCACATTTTAATCACCACACAATGACATTTAATCACACGACAATCTTTTTAAGGATTGTGCATTTCTGTGTTCATGTAAAACAAAAGTGCCCCCTGCAGGTCATTCCTCAAATTACAAGATATGTGAATGTATTATTTCCCCATTTAAGTGTACTGAGATTTTGAACACAAGCAAATGTATTATTTTTTCCCCAAACTTGAACAAATCAAACAGCATTTTTCTGATGAATCACTTGTACTGTATCTCATTAAAACTCTGTGGGTTTGTACTGCGCCAAACCTGTCTAATCTGACTTTGATATGATTATTAACTCTATTTATCTCTGGAATAAAGTGATGGGCCCATATACTACATTTTTGCTGTGCCTTTAAGACTGAATGACTTCTTTTCCGATTGTCTAACTTGATTGTGCCTCAATCAAGAAGCAGTCTAGGCTGAAACACTGATTATAACTTCAGTGTGAATGAGCAGGGCTAAAAGGCTGTAGGCTGAATTGGACAATATATGTAAATATGTTGGTTTTTGTGACACACAAAAGCAAAGAATACAATACAGGTTGTTTTCGTAGCTTAGTTTGCATATATGGACTGAATGGACTGGGTAGTGAATTGTACATTTAAAAGTTTAAAGTTTATGCAGTACATCAACTTCTTTTTGTTAAAAAAAGAGATACGTTCCACACAGTATAGGCCCTTTAATTACTGATAGCAATCTCTTTAATGGCTCTCTACTGAATGAACCCACACTCCTGGCTTAATTGACTTTGCAGGCTTAGAGGTCTTTTGTTACTAAAAACTCTTGTAGCACAATTTCATGGCCAATAACACTTGCAAATGCCACCATGCGACAGATAAATGCTGAAGTCATTAATGCCTAGAGTTTATCTGTATTCACACATTTCCTTGGTTACACTGACATGTACTGCTGACCTATGTATGCAAATATGACTGACAATATTCTCTCATTTTAATGTAATGTTTGACAATGTAACAAAGACTGGATTTAAACATTTATTATGTCCTGTGATGCTTAAGACTTTTACAGCAGAAATTAAATACATTTACAACAGATCAGTCATTCCAACCACCAGATATGACAGCCTAACATTCAAATACATCAGACACATTCACTAAAACTGATACACTCTTATGAACTTAGGACCTAAATGGTTCAATAATTTTTCAGGAAATACAAGAAATTAGTTCACAAAACTCACAGACCTCTCCTTGCAGATTTGATCTAAAACGATGGGAAAGAATACATAACACAGTCATCAAGGAAAGTTAAGGAAAAGACTATTGCAATCAGGTATTTAAATAGCACGGACATGGTGGGAAGTATTGCCATGACATGATTCGCATAACCTCAGCAAAGCATGATGATATTTCGTTGCCAATTTTCTCTCACAAAGTGTTGGCAATTTTAGACCATTCCTGTCTTCCTAAGTATAAAACACTGCTCGATTTAGTGCAGGGGGGACGCAATCTTATCCACAAAAAGCAACTTGATAAAACAAGCAGGGTCAGTGAGCTCCTGCTTGGTTAGAATGAAAACCTGCAGCTGAACTGGCCCTTTGCAGATAGGACTGGGCACCCCTGACTTTACAGTCTGCTTATACATTTCCTTGTATTTTAGGATGATTTTTCATACAGCTGAACAAAACTACATTAAAACCCAGTACATTTTTTAAAAAGTGACAATGTGATGAACGTGGAAAGTGTGGCGAACTCCTACTGTTGGGGCTGTAAGGGACATCAGTCTTGCAATTGATGGAGAGGAGGCAGTGTGCAGCTGCAGGGTGTGGAGTCCCAGGGTATGTAAGGCAACAATTGGGAAAGCTCTTTACTTCACCCATCACGCATACAGTGGCTGGTAATCGCTTCTGCCACTTCGGCAGGTGATCACACAAATGCTGAGCATTCCGAAAAACTGTAAAGAGGAGAAAGTAGTTAATAAAATGGCAAAACAAACAACCTGCAACAGCGTAACAGCACCAAGATCATTCTAAGTTGGTAAAATGAGTAGCTCTTTGAAGAGGACTAGGTGAACTAACAGGGTTTTCAATAGTTATCAAGACATAACAGCTTAGTTTGATAATTAAATTGCACATTTATTTAATTTTTGTCATAAAAAATACTATTTGGTTCATGATAGGCAAAAAAAGTTAGAATTCATTTTTACATAACCATTTCCCAATCTCTCTTCTCCCTTAGAATTACACAGACTGTTTTTGGTAATGTGCCTTTAAGGCAGATGTATGTAAATGACGTCTGTTTCGATGACATCAGCATGAATGAGTGGGGCTGAACTGCTGAAGGAAAAACCAATATACACAAATATATACAAACTGTTTTTAAATATGGACTGTATGGCCTGGGGTGTGAATGGTATGTTTTTAAACTTCAACAATGTGTACATACTATACCAAGTATTTAAAAAAAAAAAAGCAAAAACATTCAATTTTCCAGGATATGGGCCCTTTAAAACACATTGATAAACCTTTAGTGTCATTGTATCTGACATAGCTAAAAAGTGGCCTGCATTATTCTGACCAAAATGATTTGTGTTCATTGGAGCACATGAACATCTTGATTCATCCAAACAAGCTGGAGCAGGTGTGGCAGATTGTAGTTGCAACCACAGGCCACAGGAAGGTAGATCTCCTGGACCAGGGCTGGTGACCACTGTAATACAACATTACCAGTAATCATGAAAAGAGCTTAGCATAACAGACACAAAATGGGAGCTAGCCTTCCATACCTTTATGATGGCAAAACCCAAGATGACCAACATGGCATAACTCAGCACACTCTGAAGCAGCTTCTCTAGTTTAGTTTCACAGCCCTACAAATGCATTGAGAGAACTAATTTTAGAACAAAGAAATAAACATTTCCACCAAAATGTAATACAGTAGCTGGGTCATTCCATGAAAAGAGTACTTCTACATTTAATGACTTGTATTAGGGACAGAATTTTCTTTTGTGGAAAAAGGTTTTTGTTAGGAATTAAGGCATTTTGTACATGTCCAAACAGACAAGTTATTGACACTGTAAAATATTATTACATAAAAACTGCATTAACATTTAATTTTTTATTTACAAACATTACATATTTTGACACAACATATCAATTCATTTTAAGTAGGGTTCAACAGGAACTGCCCCCTCCCCCAAAGTTCACTGCCCCACACAGAACCGAGATTGTCCCAAATAACGTTTGATCTTAAGTACCTTGTAATCTTGAGTTTTGCTTTCCACTCCATCACACCAATTTATTTAACCTTAACAATGTTATGTCATATTAAGTGACATGATGAAGGGATATCAATTAATTCTTTGGAAGAGCCGGCTTCAAACGCTGGTAGGTTTTGCTTTTACTCAACATTTACAATTTGTTGTTTTTCACTATTCTTGTCAGGGCCTATCAAGCAAAACATGCCCACCCTTTTAGACAAATTAGACTGAGGCATTATGTTTTTATGATTTTTCGCATTATTCACAGATATGTCATGCAGAAAAACATGTTAGAAGTTTGATGCTTGGCCTTAAATATTCCACCGTCTCACATTCCTCTGCATCACAAGTTTAGCGTGATGGGGCAATAATTTCCAATGTTATTTTGCTCGAAAAATGTAAGAGTGAAGTGGGAAAATCTGTTCTTTGGTAAAAGCAACTGAAATTAAAGAGGACTGATTTCTTAACATGAAGAAAATTTATGTCAACATGTCCATTTGGCACAACATGGAATGACAACAGCTAATAATTGTGAGGTGTTACCGGTGCACAGTTACAAAGCCCTGCCTACCTGAGCATTCAGCAGCTCGGACTGGTCAAACTGTCCAGTGCATGTGGTGTTTGCCTTACAGCAGGAATGGGGCACCGTGCGGTTATGAGAACTGAACCAAGGTGTGCTGGTCCAGTCAGTGTAGTTCCTCACCCCACAACACTGCAGCTGCGCAGACATGATGGAGAAGAAAAGTTTCAAAGACAGTTCGATAGCAATTTTGTTTTTTACATGATTACATGCCCATCACTTTTTCAGTTCTTCACAGTGATGAACACCTAATCGTAATGATCTCTTACCTGAGACTGCAAATAGTCCACTGCCCGGGTCTCAGCGTTCTTGCCATCATACTTCTGAAAGACTTCACTCATCGACTTCTCCAAGTCTCCTTTTATCTGCCAACATACACACGGAAAATCACCAACTAAAACCACAGAGGGATTCTTACAGTATTCAACAACTGCCAATTGGAGAGGAACCTACCCTTCCCTTGTAGATGAATCCAAACACAAAGGCAGTCACCTCCGCAGCAAAGATCAGTAAAAGGATAAACATAAACTGCAAAAATGAACACAGTCAGTGCCATTTACTTCTCCAATTACTGGAAAAGGAACTGAAACAAGAAACATTTCTTGAAACCCCCTGCTACAACCAGATTATACCACTGGAAAGCCCCATACTTACAAAGCCTAAGCCAACTTTTGACTCCCTCAGTGTTGCACAGCAGCCGACGATACCAATAATAAACATTACCACGGCCACCCCGATAATGATAGCTGCAGGGATTAGGGTGTATTTGTCCTCCAAAAAGTTGTCAAAGTTCTTATAGCTGCGTATGACATAAGCGCCGACATAGGAAAGAGCCGCTCCTGCAGCCTGAAAGAAGAGAGAACACGTCACCAGGCTGAAAGACAAGACTTGTGAGAAACTCCAAATGAGGGAAAAACAGAATATGCAGACTATTAAATACAGTTACTACCTCAGTGCCGTGGCTGCTTTTCCCCTGTTTACATTATAAAAAAGCTATGGTCACACCTTATTTTGATGGTCCATCTTATCTACAATTGCTCAAGCTGTTAATCTATCTGATGAAACCTGGTTGTTTATTAGCAGAATGAGGGTTAGGGTTGAATTTAACCCATTCAAGTTGAACAACTAAATTCAGTACGATAAGGAAAGGTCAAGCAGAATTTGTTCTGACTGGTCTAAAGCAGAGGTTCCTAATCCAAATCCTGACAAGACTTTGCTACTGACATTTTTGTGGTTTTTCTACTCTACAAACCCGACCCAGCCAACAAGGTGCTTGTTGATCAGTTAACAATTTGAATCAGGTGTGCTCGATGAGACAAAGTACAAACATGTGCAGTATTGGGTTACCAGGACTGGGAACACTTGGTCTGAAGTAAAGAAGTACAATGGGAATTTGGCTATTTTGTGATTTTTTGATCATACTTTCATACTATTTTATACTATTCATGGTCACTTTGGACTTTCTCTTTCCATATGACCAAAAGACTGAATTTAATATTATAAATTAATGTTTGATTTTATTTCCCTTGCAGAACATATGGAGACACATATTCAGCTGTATTTAAAATTTGGGATCAAAATGTAAAATTTCAGAGACATTTGTGTCTTAATAGACATAACAGATACACAGCTGAATGTAAAGTAATGACATGTCACTTGCGCATGCGCCAGAATTTCACACTGACTGCTTTTTCTTAAATTTCTGGGTCTGGCCTAGTGGTTCACTCACAGTAACACATGACTCACTTCTCTCTCAGTGAATCACAATCCTGAGTCATGGGACCATGAGTGACCCCGTTCCTTCCTTTAATCTCCACTGGAACTCTGGTCTTGTGCCTCAGATATGAGGAGTAAAACCCAAAGCAGCACAGGAATCTTAGACTAGTAGTTTATGCAACTTCTAGTAAAAATATTTTTAACACTTCCATTTTCTCAAATGACCAAGCCATAGTTTGGCATAGGGCCTATTTTTAAGTGAGCACTATATTTTACCCTACTAGTCTCCCTCTAAGTCCACAGGTGAATGTATTGTGCTAGTAAAAATCAATGGCATATTTGCTGCAAACAAAACAGATGCTGATTTTATTCCCCCAGGCAGTTCCCTTTCCAGCTTACTGAGCACAGAAAATCATGAGTGTGACAAAACCAACTGCAACGTGGAACCGAAAATGAGAAGTGATTTTCTTCTATTTATTACAGTTCTTTCCAGTAAAATCCCATCATATTCCGAAGGAAAAAGCGCTTTGAACAGGGACAGTTTCGCCCTGGGGTAAACAGAAAGACACCGAAAGCTTTTCAAAATGTTTTCTTACGTCTAAGCACGAAACACACTGTTCATTCATGGATACATAATCAAATTTAGGCGGAGAGGAGACATCACTGTCATCTGAGAGCTACTCAGACCAACAAGCCTACAGCAGCAGCAGACTTTGAACACACGCTGAACACGCTGTAAACAGGCTTCCGTTATGTTATCAGCAGATTAAAGAAGACGAAGTGTTAATATCTGTGGTGTACTTCTTCTTGGTCACACGTACGCCTTCCACTTAGAGCTGCTCACTGTTTTTAAAAAAGCTCCGTAGAGTTTCTGCTCAACAACTCGAAAAAACACAGCGAGACTGTGACAGTTTAACCCAGCTGGGAGGAAATGGTTTCACGGGGTCGTTAGTTTCATTAGTCGGATCATTTCCGACCACCACGCAGCAGAAGCTAAACTCAAGATAAGAACATTAGCCGAAAGACTAAAAGACGACACGGTGTTTAAGAGAGTCTTTCACATTAACACCACAATTTACTTTCCAGACGGATATTAGCCAAGCTAAACTCGCGTTTTCACCCTTTCTGTGGAAGAGTTTGTTCATTTCATCATTTAGACTATTTAGGCTAGATGTTCATCACAAGATTTATTCAAGACAGGCTGACAAAACGTACCCAGAATATTAGGCTGAGGATCAGAAGAACGGTCTTCGACGTTATAATGCCGCAGTCCATGGTTGTTGTGCTTGTTCAAAGTCGTTATGCTGAAGATCCTCTTCTCTCTGAGCAGCGCGTGCGGCTCCGTTCACTTTACAGTAAAACACGGCGCGGGGCGCGTCATCCACACGTCACCAACACGCGCTCTCAGAATTAGCTGAAAGTGCGAGAAGCTGCGCAGCTTGAACGCCCCCTGTATCACATGCTAGCAGGCCAGCAGGGTCACTCCCAGGAACTAAAGCCGCAGGGCAGCTCTTTTAGCTTAGAGTAATAATGAAGACGTTTTTCAGAAATTGGAATGACTCGTTTACTCAGTTGTAAAATGACTTTCCTAACGCTGTTCAGTTGGTACTCTATGCCTAAATGACTACAACTCAGTGGTGCCTCTTCTGAAATGGTGGACATGTCTCTGCTCTTCGGGGAAAGAGCCCATATTGGGGTGGGCAATACCACTCATCTTTATTTCCATTCAAAACAAGCAATACAAACATTACAACTCCCTTTGTATGTCCACACACACACACACACACACATATATGGACAAAAGAATTGGGACACACCTGATAATCATTGAATTTGTGGGTTTTATTATGAGTCGTTCTAAAGAGCTCACTGAATTTGAGCGTGATGCTCTGGGATGCAACCGTTGCAACAAGTCAGTTTGCAATTTTTTTCCCTCCTAGATATTAAATGAGCAACTGTGAGTGGTATTATTGAAAAGTGGAAGGGTTTAGGAACAACAGTCAGACGCACAATGCCAAGTGTCTGATGGAGTGGTGTAAAGCATGCGCCACTGGACTCTAGAGCAGTGGAGTGACGAATCACGCTTGTCTATTTGGCAGTCTGATGGACGAGTCTGAGTTTTGGCGAATGCCAGGAGAACGTTACCTGCCTGACTGCATTGTGCAAACTGTAAAGTTTGGTAGAGGAAGGATAATGCTATGGGATGCTGTGGGGTTGTTTTTCAGGGGTTGGCCTAGGCCCCTTAGTTACAGTGAAGGGAAATCGTAAAGCATCAGCACACCAAAACATTTTGGATAATTGTATGCTTCCAACTTTGTGGGAATAGTTTGGGGAAGACCCTTTTCTGTTCCAGTATGACTGAGCCCCAGTGTACAACACAAGGTAAATAAAGGCCCACGCCATAGGCACTAATGCAACCCCATACCATCTGAGATGCAGGCTTTTGAACTCTGCGCTGATAACAAGCTGGATGGTCCTTCACCTCCTGAGTCCACAGAACACAGTGTCCATGGTTTCCAAAAAAGAATTTCAAGTTTTGATTCATCTGACCACAGAACAGTTTTCCATTTTGCCTCAGTCCATTTTAAATGAGCTTTGGCCCAGAGAAGACGGCAGGATTTCTGAATCGTGTTGACAAATGGCTTCTTCTTCACATGATAGAGCTTTAACTTGCATTTGTGGATTGCATGGCAAACTGTGTTCACAGACAATGATTTATGAAAGTGTTCATGAGCCCATCCAGTGATTTCCAGTAAAGAATCATGCCTGTTTTCATTGCAGTGAAAACCACTGAGGGCACGACGATCACGAGCATTCAATATTGACCGTTGGTCTTGTCCCTTGCATACAGGGATTTCTCCAGATTCTCTGAATCTTTTGATGATATTATGTACTGTGGATGGTGGGATATCTAAAGTCTTCGCAATTTTACTATTTTTAGATGCAGTTTTTCGCAGATTGGTGAATCTCTGCCCATCTTTGCTTCTGAGAGACTCTGACGCTCTAAAACGCTCTTTTATACTCAATCATTTGAGTTAGTTGCAAATTGCTCCTCCAATTTGCTTTTTATTAGTACCATTACTTTTCCAGCCATTTGTTGCCCTTGCCCTAACTTTTTTGAGATGCGTTGTGGCCAAATGAGTTAATATTTTTCATGAAATGGTAAAATGTCTCACTTTCAACATCTGATATGTGTTCTATGTTCTATTGGGAATAAAATATGGGTCTATGAGATTTGCAAATCATCACATTCTGTTTTTATTCACATTTTACCCAGTGTCCCAATGTTTTTGGAATTGGGGTTGTAGAACGAGCCGGACGCTCTCGTCCAACATCAGTGTCAGACCTCACAAATGCTGGATGAATGAGCAAAAATTCCCACAGACACACTCCAAAATCTTGTAGAAAGCTTCCCAGAAGAGTGGAAGCTGTTGTAGCTGCAAAGAGCCAGATACACGACAATATTTACAGTCATATCTAAATACATTATTTGTATTGTAAATATATGGGTATGCTTTGCTTTGAGCTAGATAGAAATACCTAGGAGATATCTAGGTGATGAATCTGCTGCCACTAAATGTATTACTATTATGTGGAAATCATCTGAACCCCCCTAGACTTTCTATATAGACTTTCTATATATGTGTGTAAATGTAAAAGGACCATGTAAAAAATTAATAGATTAATAGAACAATTAATAATTGATCTGAAACTCCAGCGACTGGTACTCCAATAGGCTTCAGTGGCTACAGCCTAGGTCCTCGACCACCAGGGGGCCCCACAAGTATTAGCAAATGGGATAATAATAAAAGACACTGGAAAGCGTTGATGGAGGTTTGTTCTTCTATATTATCCATAGTTTCACAGGGAATTTTGCATTCTTGATACAGTCTTTATGAAAACCATTTGATCTAATAAACCACTATACTTTTTTAGCTTTATGACCACTAGTCAGCTTTATCCTGTATTCGTTTTACAAACCCAATTCCAAAAAAGTTGAGACAGTAGGTAAAATGCAAATAAAAACAGAAAGCGGTGATTTTAAACAGCACAAAGACAAGTTATGTAATGTCTTATCTTATCAACTTCTTTGTTTTTATGTAAATATATGTTCATTCTGAAATCAATGCCTTCAACATGTTCCAAAAAAAGTTAGGGATAATTTAAGACCAAGAACATTTTGAAATGTTCAGAAACATTTTAAACAGGTGATGCAGTCATGCTTGGGCATAAAAGAGGCATCCAAGAAAGTCCAAGTCCTTTATGAGCAAGGATGAGTCTAGGCTCACCACTCACAAATGCATCAGCAACATTCTTAAACCAGTAGTTTAAGAATAACATTCTTTAGTGTGCAATTGCAAGGATGTTTTTCCCCTTCTGTAGTGCATAATATCATCATCAGATTCAGAGCATCTGGAGAAATGTATTTGCCTGAAGGAAAAAGCCAAAAACCACAACTGAATGCTCATCATTTTTGATCCCTCAGGCATTAAACACTGGTGTGCCTCTGTGATGACTATCACTACATGGGCTTGGGAATACCTTAACAAAACGCTGTCAATATACATAGTCACACATCAAAAAAGTCATATGTCAATAGCGTCCAGAAACACTGCCGACTCCTCTGGACTCAAGCTCATCTGAAAAGGACAGATGCACAGTGGAAATGTATATTGTGATTTGATGAGTTAACTCATTTCTTGTTTATGGGAATAATGGACATGTGTGGTCTCCAGGCCAAAGAGGAAAGAGACCATCCAAACTGTTACCTTCTAGATGACGTTTTCAGGGACGTTCATGCTTATTTCAACATGTCAGCATCAAGCCACATTCTGCTCATGTTATAACAGCATGGCTGCAGAGAGTACAGATTCTAGACAGAATTTACTAATCCCTTCTTTCTGGTTTTATTAGCATTTCACATACTTTTTTGAAATCATAGTTGTACTTAACCATAATCTTAGCACTCCTAAAAATGATATTGTATTTACTATGTTGTTTTATTATGATGTACATCACTGTTAAATAGTCTCATGGTCCTTTGGTGATCAGCATTTGCCTGTCGTGATAAATGTGTTGGTGTGTTAACAGGGGTGTGATAGACAGACAGGGGTAGCCCAGGGCCCCAGAATGTCTTGATACAGCTATGGTGATAAAACTCCATATGATCTGCTATTATGGAGCATTCAGTCTGTGTCATGTGACTGGCTGCGTGTGTGTATGAGAAGAGAGCAAGAGGGCAGAACGAATGAAAACCTTTATTGTTGTAATATTTACAATTACACTATTAGTTACAGTTACACAGTTACAAGCATTAAATACACATTGTGCTTCATTAAAAGATGCTTAAATAAAACACAGTAACACTTTATCATATTTATGTGTTAATTAAGAATTTTACAAGATCCCCTTTAGGCTCAGTGTAATGTAACATACTGCCCTGTTATCCCAGTCATCTGTTTTATCTGTAGCTCCATTCTCTCATCATTTTATCCATCTGTGTCTTGATAGTCCTCTTGTGTAAGTAACCCTTGTATCTGTTAGGTCTTGTGCTTGTTCTTGCCCATATGAGCTTGCTGGACATCCTATTCCAAAACTATGGGCATTAATATGTAGTTATCCCCCTTTGTGGCTATAATCGCCCCACTCTTTTGGGAAGGCTTTAAACAACATTTTAGAATGTTGTAATTTGTGCCCATTCAGCCAAAAGATAATTGGTGAGATCAGACATTGATGTTGCACTAGAAGGCCTGGCTTGCAATCGACCTTCCAATTAATCCAAAAGGTGTTCATTGGGGTTTGGGTCAGGGCTCTGTGCAGGCCACTGGAGTCCCACACTAAACTTACCAAACCATGTTTTTGTAGACCCAACTTTGCGTATAGGGGCACAGTCATGCTGGAACAGGAAAAGGCCCTCCCCAAACTGTTGGCACAAAGTTGGAAACACACAACTGTCTCAAACGTCTTTTTGTCTAAAATGTCTGTGTGCTGTAGCATCAACATTACCCTGCACTGGAACTAAGGGGTCAACCCGAAACTCTGAAAAACAGGCCATTATTCCACCTCCACCAAACTCTAATGTTGGCATTGGCCTATGCATTCTGGTAGGTACTGTTCTCCTGGATTCCATCAAACCCAGGTTTGTTCATCAGACTGCCAGACAGTGAAGTGTGATTCCAGAGAACACAATGCCACTGCTCCTGAGTCTAATGGGAGCATGTCTTAACACCTCTCTGGTTGTCACTTAGCATAGCACTTTGTTTGTAGCTGCTCAGCCATGAAAACACATTTAATGAAGCTCTTTTCTTGTGATGAGTGTGGAACTCTGCAGTGAATGATGCAAAAGAGTATAGATGATTCTTACATGTTACGCGCTG